AAAATTTTTTACCCTTCTCAAATTTATGTTTTTTTTTTTTTTTTGCCCCCAAAGGGGAAAGGCTTTAGTTTTTCCCCAGGGGTAATGTTGTTTGTTGTTTTCTAACCTTTGGTGCAGGACTTTCCCGTTCGTGTTAAAAAATTTGCAAAATCTTGTGGGTCTTACCCGCAAATAACAGAGCACTGCCCCCCCCATTCGTAAGGGGAGGGGTTTGCACTTGGCACGATAGGCATATCATTGAATTAAAATTTAAAAATTTTAAGGGACCAGAATACTACCTTGGGGAAATCCAAATTTTTATCGGCAGGGGTTTTGATTTTTGTTTTTTTGATTTTTTACTATTTGTCCTGGTTTCTAAGGTAGGACCCTTTAAAAAAGTTACAGACCCCATACCAATAGCTTTAAGGGGTTTTTTTAAAAATATATTGTGGTTGGGCAGTATCGAAGGCCTTTTTCAGGTCTAAAAGGGTTTCCATTGCCCATGAGGGTTCCCCCTTTTACATTTCGTTTCAGGTTTTAAACCCTCAGATTTAAAAAGGGAGGTGTCGGTTTTTAGTTGGATTATTTAAAACCCCTTTTATTGCTAGGGAGAAAGTTGTTGTCATTAAGGTACTTAACTACTTTTAGAATACCCGCCCCCTCTTGAAAATTTTTGATTTTATACTGAGTTTTTCTAAAAGGCTATAGTTGCTTACATAGCCCACTATTTTTCTTTAAGATGGGGTGACTCTGGCCCCCTTGAAACCCCCCGGGACTGATTTGTGGTGATTGGGTAGATTTATTATGTGAGCAATAGGGATTGACGTTTTAGAAACACCATCTTTTAGGAAATTAGCGGGATTTATCAGGGCCTTGTCTTGTTGGGTTTAAAACCCGCTTAGTTCTTTTTGAATAAAGGGCATGAGATAACTTACTAGTTGACAACTGTTTTGGGGTTTCCCCTTTTTTTGGTATAGTTTGGGTTTTTAAAATTATCAGAGTTGTGGAAAATTTTTTGATGCAGCTGGTGTTTTAAATTTCTTGTGTTGTGCAACAGAGTGTAGTAGGAATTAAAACAATTTGCCACCTTAGATGTTTCGTTTGGATACCTCATTATCCCATAGGGAGTACTATGTTAGATATCTACTGGCTTATGGCTATACCCAATGTTTTTGTTGTTGCCCCGAGATTTCTGGGGTTTGCTTTACTCTTCAATTTTTTTTGGGAGTAGTGCTTTGCCTTTTCTCCTTTTTTTAAGTCTCTGTTACTCTTTTTCCTAAACCCTTTTGGGAAATTTATTTAGTGCTGCAATTCCGTCTGTTTGTTTAAATTTTTTTTTGCAGCTGGTTCTGAATTTCTTAAATTAAATTTAAAATCTCAGTATTCCCTCCAGGGTTCAGTTCTTGTTTAATTTTCCCAACCTTTTTTAAATGGTTTCAATATTACAAGGATGGTGTTTAACATTGTTTTTAATTTTTCCCAGGCATCGTTTACGTCCGTGCAATTTGTTATCTCTGTCCAGTCACAATTGTGTAGCCTATTTACCAGTGTTTCTTTACTGTATTTTTTAGTTGCCCTCATTTTTATTGTCCTTGTAGGCCAAACCTTCCCCTAGTTTATTTTCCTGGGCAGTAAATGATGAAATGATCACTAAGACCTGTGGTAATGACGCCTGACTGACTAATGTTCTCAGAGCGGTTACAAAGTATGTGGTCAATTAGGGTGGCTGAGAACTGTGTGATCCGGGGTTGGAGTATTAATTAGTTGAGTGTAACTATTTAATCCTAGAATTTGCTTATACCTTTTGCATAGCCCGTTATTTTGCTGCTGAAAACAGATATTAAAGTCGCCCAGTATTATTGTCTCGCAATTGTTTTCAACTCCGGACAAGACTCTGGAAAAGTCTTCTAAGAACTGGTCCTGGGTAGGAGGGCGGTAACTAGTTCCTACTAAGATGGGTTTGGTCTTGGGAAGCAGCACTTCAAACCATAGAATCTCCAGTTTATTGTTATTTAAATCAGGTCTTGGGTTAGATTGGGATAGATTTCGAAAAAGCCATTGACAACATGCCTATGCACTCAGCCCCAGGCCCAGACTCGTGGAACTCTGTTTTCATTAAGAACTGCAAGAAACCCCTCTCGCGTGCCCTAAATACACTATGGAGGAGGAGCTTGGACATGGGTGAAATTCCACAGTCACTTAAAACAACGGATATAGCCCCACTCCATAAAGGTGGCAGCAAAGCATTAGCTAAGAACTATAGACCAATAGCTCTGACGTCCCACATCATAAAAATCTTTGAAAGAGTGCTAAGAAGCAGGATTGCAAATCACCTGGATTCCCAAAATCTGCACAATCCAGATGTTGGTGAGGGGCTCTTGATTTAGGGAATTGGATCTGTGCTCCAGTTCCCCGAATTAAGCCTGAATGCCTTCCACATCCCCCCCCCAGGCGCTGTATAATCCTCCGGGTTTAGCGCTTCCCCCTTGATTATAATAATAATAATAATGCACAATCCAGGGCAACATGGGTTCAGGGCAGGTCGCTCCTGCCTCTCACAACTACTGGATCACTATGACATGGCCTTGGATGCACTGGAAGAAAATCAGAATGCAGATGTAATATACACAGACTTTGCAAAAGCATTTGACAAATGCGATCATGGCGTAATAGCCCATAAAATACGTGCTAAAGGAATAACTGGGAAAGTGGGGAGATGGATCTTCAACTTCCTAACAAATCGAACACAAAGAGTAGTGGTCAACAGAGTTAAATCGGAGGCTGCCATAGTGAAGAGCTCTGTTCCACAAGGCACAGTACTCGCCCCATCTTATTCCTTATCCTCATATCAGACATAAACAGAGATATACACCCCAGCACCCTATCATCCTTTGCGGATGATACTAGGATCTGCATGAGGCTGTCATTGCTGAGGACGCGGGTTAACCTCCAAGAAGATATAAACAAAGTTTTCCAGTGGGCAACGGTAAACAATATGATGTTCAATGAGGGACAAATTCCAACTACTCCGTTATGGGGAAAAATGGAGGAGATAATAACTAGAACAGAGTAACTACTGACTCCGGCCATTACAATAGAGCGGAAAAATAATGTAAGGGACCTGGGAGTAGTAATGTCTGAGGATCTCACTTTCAAAGGGTCATCAAACAGTGCCCGATCGCACGTGCAAAGAAAATGATAGGATGGATAATGAGAACTTTCAAAACGAGAGATGCCAAGCCCCTGATGATCCTTTTCAAATCACTTGTTTTTCTAGGCTGGGGTTACTGCTGTACATTAACAATCTTTCCCTTCAAAGCAGGTGAAATCGCAGATCTAGAGAGTGTACAGAGATCCTTTACTGCACGTATAAATTCTGTCAAGCACCTTAACTACTGGGGAAAGCTTGGAAGCACTTGACTTGTACTTGTTGGAACGCAGGAGGGAGAGACATATCATAATTCTACACTTGGAAAATCTTGGAAGGAATGGCCCAAATCTGCACACAGAAATCACTCCCTACGAAAGTAAAAGACCCGGGCAGGGGATGCAAAATCCCGCCAATAAAAAGTAGGGGCGCCATTGGTACACTAAGGGAAAACACCATAAGTGTCCGGGGCCCAAGACTGTTCAACAGCCTCCCATCAAGCATTAGGGAATTGCCAATAAACCCCTGGCTGCCTTCAAGAGAGAGCTGGACAGATACCTAAAGTCAGTGCCGGATCAGCCGGGCTGTGGCTCGTACGTTGGACTGCGTGCGGCCAGCAGTAACAGCCTAGTTGATAAGGCCCTGATCCATCGGGAGGCCTGGTCATGGACCGGGCCGCGGGGGCGTTGATCCCCGGAATAACCTCCAGGTAAGTAGAGGGAATTAGAGTTGAGGTAGAGAGAGCTAAGGTTGAGGTAAGATAAGATTTATTGGGATTTTTAACCCGGGGGAGTGTTAGTCACCCAAGCCAATCCAAGATAAACCATACCACGGGCGGGGATAGAACCCGCGGGTTCTATCCTCGCCCATGGTATGGTTTGTTTACAATCGTGTCATTACGATTTCGTGAGTCAATCCAAGATAGTCAGTGTGTCATCGAGGACTGTCTTTTTTCCACTGGGGTCGTTCAGTCTTGCCTTTCCCCCAGGATGCGACCCACAGCAGTCGGCTAACACCCTGGTACCTATTTACTGCTAGGTGAACAGGGACACCAGGCGTATGGAAACGTGCCCAACGTTTCCACCCGTGCCGGGGATCGAACACGGACACTTATATGTGAACTGAGTGCGTTATCGACCAAGCCACAGGCTGGGGATGGGATCCATGTCTGAGCCCGCACAGCAAGTGAAACATACCCAGTTTTGTTGGAAAGACACGTGAGTAAACACACGAACGTTACCGGAAACGTTTCGGTCCTGGGACGTCGGTCACATTTTGTGTCGGCATCACATGCCATTTTCACCTCATCTAGTCCCGGTTATTATACTTATATGATGAAGTAGCGAGCACAGTTAATACGCATCATAGTTATAAGCTATTTGTTACCATTGTTCACGAAGATTGTTAATTATTTAATGTACCGATTATTATTATCATTCACGAGAATTTTTAAAATCCATGGGAGGCATAGAGAAGCTGGGAAATAGGAGATAATCATGTACCTGACTGCACCCTCACCTAAGAAGGTGAAGTACAGTCAGCTATCTTATAAACCTCTTATGTATAGTGCGATTTAATTTTTTTGATAAGTGTGATTTAAAAAGGTACTCCCAAATTGGCAAGCACGTGGATATGTATTCATTGTAAACGCTGTTCTGTTTTGAGTGCACTTTTTCAATCTCATTTACAAAAACTCGTACCATATGAGAGCCTACTGTAACTCCGATTATACAGACGAGGAGCCCTTCATTATGAAGGCAGCCACCTTGAGGGAGATAGGTGGGTGGGGTCCTCCCCCACGGGGTGAGAGTGGAGTGGTCCGTGTTTACGTGTGATGGAGGGAGGGAGGGAGGGAGCTGCTGTGTGACTGTGAGCTTCAGTGTGAGGATGGAACCATGAGTGCTCGGGTGTTGTTCCTGTGTGCGGCCTCCGCTCCCTCACTTTTACTTGTACTAGTAGCCATAGTGTCGGCTCAACATTTGTGTAACCACGTCCACCCAAAACCAGATGAGGTATGCTGAAACCACCAGATGGTTCTCCTCTAGTTGAAGTGTTACAAGGTATTGATTTTACGGCGGGCAGTGAGGGAGGGCAAGGTATCAGCTGATTCAAAGCTGCCTCTCTGGGTGAGGATCCCCTCAAGGAAGGTTCCTTGATGTTGGTGAGGGGCTCTTGATTTAGGGAATTGGATCTATGCTCCAGTTCCCCAAATTAAGCCTGAATGCCTTCCACATACCCCCCCAGGCGCTGTATAATCCTCCGGGTTTAGCGCTTCCCCCTTGATTGTAATAATAATAATCTGGGTGAGGATAAGGTATCAGCTGATTCAAAGCTGCCTCTCTCTGGGTGAGGAAAAGGTATCAACCTTCCTGTCTGGGGAGGACAAGGTATAACTAGATTCAAAGCTACCTACCTCTATCTGGGCTAGACAAGGAATTACATGATTCAAAGCTACCTTTCACTGTCTGGGTGAGGACAAGGTATCCACCTGATTCAAAACTGCTCCCCCTCTAGTTTGAGTGAGGACAAGGTATCTAATTCAAAGCTACCTTCCACTGTGGCGGAGGATAAGGTATCGGTTGATTCAAAACTGCTTTTCTGTGTGTGGTGGACAAGGTATCAGCTGATTTAGAGGTGCCTTCTTGTCTTGGTGTTTGTGTTAGAGGTATCCCCACGACATCTTTGTTGTTTTCTGTATACCTGGATAGTTCCTGGGACAAGTGGAGTAGTTAACGTGTGCATGATCCAGATATAGTATCGTTGCTGTAGCCACAGTAGTAATGCACCAGTGGTACACTACACCCAGCAACGTTTTTATTTCACGCGCTGCAAACGTTGGGGAACTGTTTGTTAAATAGGCTTCACAACCTTTTATAATTTTTACACAGGTTCTGAAAGCACGCACGCACACACACGGGGCCAGGAGCTAGGACTCGACCCCTGCAACCTCAACTAGGTGAGTACACACACACATACATACATACATACATACATACTATATATATATATATATATATATATATATATATATATATATATATATATAATATATCAATGTACTCTTGTGTTGTGGCTATGTATATATAGTATGTATATTGAACCGAGGATAGCCCCCCTCAAAAAAAAAAAATATTCCCATTACGGCTTGTTTCTCAGTGTCAACGAAATTTATTTTAATTAATCGTCTCATTGCTATTCTGTGTGCGTGCGTACGCGCGCGCGTTCGTACGTACATACTCCTATTCTCACCATATGTGATGTGAGTGCATAAGTCAAGTCTCCATACCTGTGTACTCATTCCTATACGTGGTTGCAGGTGCGTGCGCGTGTGTTCGTTAGACATTTGTATATTGAAATATGGTTATTTTTACGACAGTTGCAATCAGGTTTGATCCCAGGAAATGGAGGGTTGCGCCAATTCCTCTGATCAAGATCCTTTCACCGGCATCAAAAGCATCCTTCCTCTTCCCCCTTGAGTATAGTGAAATATTTAACACATTTATATACCAAGACGATACATATGCATAGAAGACTACATTTGCCTAGATGCTGAACTTTGTAAGTCACGACTTTCATTAAATATTTAAACCAGCCTCGTCCACATGTTCATGTTGAGTAATTTGTATTGGTGTTTGTATCCTATTATACTGCATTCAGTGGTACTAGGTAACTCGTAGTTGAGTGGTAACACTTTTTTGTTCTCACTAGGACGCATGGGCAAGTCTCCTTGTACCTGTTTTTCCTGTTGCCTTGCCAGAAAATACATCCCAGTCACATGTGGTTGCGTTATATAGGATTGGGATTTGTATTGATTTGAATACAATGGTTCTAATTATGACCATAATTTTTAAAGGCCGGTAATCCAACGGAAGGCCTAGGTCGATGACCAAACGCTCCAGCTGCGGGTCATCACATGACTAAGACCCGCGTCAGGAAACACTTGTCCTGTATCCTCACTAACCTAACCCAATTATTTGAAGTACGATAACATCATCTGTAAATTCAACTGTGTAAAAAAAATATAATTATATGCATGCAATAATCGCAAACGAGAGATTGCATGCAAAACGTCCACAAAGGGGTTAAATGAGAGCTCTAGGTCTTTCTTGTTGCAGCCAACACATTTTCAAAGGTTTGCAATACTGGAAAGGAATGGAGATCAGCCCAGTTAGGTGTGTCTATAAAGACATCCTACAAGGGAAGAGAGAGCCGCGGGATGCCTGCCTGCTTGATGCTAGATGTCAAAGGTATTTTAAGAACCAGGAGCCCAACTCATAACGTAGAAACAGTGGTAATAAACAAGAGAATATATCGCTAATGACTTGTCAAGAATCAAGAAGGAACCAACAACCGTAGCTAGGTTACTAACGCACTCAACACTCACACTGAGATTCGTGGTTTGATCTCCGATACTGCTGGAAACACTAGGGCATGTTTCCTTAAAATATCTGGTGTCCCAGTTCACCTAACAGTAAATAGGTACCTGATTGTTAGCCGACTGGTGTGGGTCGCATCCTGGGGAGAAAATTAACCTAATTTGCCTTGAGGGAAATCACTTGTTCTCTCTAGGCTGGAATACTGCTGTACATTAACATCTCCATTCAAAGCAGGTGAAATTGCAGATCTAGAGAGTGTACAGAGATCCTTTACTGCACGTATAAGTTCTGTCAAGCACCTTAACTACTGGGAACGCTTGGAAGCACTTGACTTGTACTCGTTGGAAAGCAGGAGGGAGAGATATATCATAATCTACACTTGGAAAATCCTGGAAGGAATGGTCCCAAATCTGCACACAGAAATCACTCCCTACGAAAGTAAAAGACTGGGCAGGCGATGCAAAATGCCCCCAATTAAAAGTAGGGGCGCCATTGGTACACTAAGGGAAAACACCATAAGTGTCCGGGGCCCAAGACTGTTCAACAGCCTCCCATCAAGCATTAGGGGAATTACCAATAAGCCCCTGGCTGCCTTCAAGAGAGAGCTGGCCAGATACCTAAGGTCAGTGCCAGATCAGCCGGGCTGTGGCTCGTACGTTGGACTGCGTGCGGCCAGCAGTAACAGCCTGGTTGATCAGGCCCTGATCCACCGGTAGGCCTGGTCATGGACCGGGCCGCGGGGGCGTTGATCCCCGGAATAACCTCCAGGTAACCTCCAGATGCTCTGCTTGACCAGGGACTTTCTATATAGTATGTATTTTTAAAAAATTATCATTATTGTAATAAAATAGTTCTCACTCGTGTTTGTGGGAATGTTTTCTAAGCTTGTTTTGGTCTAACATCAATAAAAAGCCGAAACGATTCCCTTTGCATTAGCCGATGCAACAGTTATCTGTACAATAAACAGAATGGATGTTATGGAAAATGGAAAGACTGGCGAAAAAACATAATGAGCCATGCCTTATCACACATTAACCTTTTATATGCTATTATGGGTTCTTTGTCAAACCTGCTTACGATAACCATAGGACATAAAATAGTATAAAAGATTTAGAAATAAACAGCAAGAGAAAGAGATGACCAACGCATCATTTGGGGGGTGGGGGTGGATATGGTTGAGGGCCCTCCCACAATTTAACTACTGTAGCTTTTACTCTATGAAATAGTACCCATACAACCCTTTAGGGTACAGTGGTCTAACACAAAGGGTTGACAGGTATAATGGAAGTCGAAACATCAAATTTAGCTTATAGTAGCTAGTTATCATGGTACCACTTGCATTTCTTTGGAGGGTATGTTGCACCGTCTGCCGAGTCTTTCGTTTTCGTAGGGAGTGAGTTCTTTGTGCATATTTGGGACAGTCTATCAGGGGACTTCAAACGTTCCTAGTAATTAAGGTGCTTGACTGAACTGTATTTTCAGCTACCTTGAATTAAGCTTTTAGTGTACAGCAGTATTCCAGTCTAGAGAGAACAAGGGACTCAAAGAGGAGCATCATTAGCATGGCAGCTCTTGTTTTGAAAGTTCTCATTATCCATCCTATCATTTTCCTCGCAGATGTGATAATGACACAAGTAAGATCCTCTGATATTATCACTCCCAAGCCCTTCACGTTAGTTTTTCGCTCTATCGTACGGTTAGAATTCGTTTTATACTTCGTTCTAGCAATTGTTTTCTTAAGTTTTCCGTAACGGAGTAACTGAAATTGGCCCTCATTGAACATTATTTTGTTTTCCGTGGCCCATTGAAAAACTTGGTTCATATCCGCCTGGAGATTTACTGTGACCTCAATGGATGACCCTCGTGTGTGTGTGTGTGTGTATATATATATATATATTATATATATATATATATATATTATATATATATATATATATATATATATATATTGGGTTAATAGCGAAGTAAAGTATATAAATGTCTAAGACTGTAAAGTGGTGTCTGGTTAAACGAGAGTGGTGTGGTAGCAGCCTCCAGGAAATGCACTGTCATGTCAAATTAAACATCTTGCGGTTTCTTTTTTTTTGATCGCGGATTAATGTCCTTTTGTCTTTAACACCCTGGAGAAGGTACGGGTGCCAGTCTTCCCATCTGATTAAACTCGAGCTCCTCCCATTTCACTAACGTTCTATGACCCTTACAGGTTTAGCGATTCTCCTTGATAATGATTTGTCAGTATTAGGAGACTGCTTAATAGGACTCCCCAGTTTGACGGATGGTTTGGGAATCTACATGCTCATAGTACAGAGAATTCCGCCCTCGCGGCCCGTTGTATTACCTTTGATGAGTTTCGAGAGTTATTCTACTTCCTGAGCTTAGCGCTTTGTTGTTGATAATAATAATAATAATCTTCCTGAGCAGGGCCCTGAGCCAGGTTTGTCTGGTGCTTGCCTGGTAAACCAATCTGTTGCTGCTGGAGGCTTGCTAACCCACATCCATCACAGCCTGGTTGATTTGGCACCTGGTGGGGATACTTGTCCAGTTTCCTCTTGAAGACTTCTACACTTGTCCCAGCAATGTTTCTGATATCTTCTGGTAAGATGTTGAATAGTCTGAGACTACAGATGTTGATACAA